TTCCAGGAACGATTCCTTCAGAGGTGCGTTTCCTTTGCCTTGACGACTTGCCCTTCGTCACTTCTATCAGCCCTTTTCACAGCTACCTTCTTCTCTTGTAAAAGTTTTCTCGTCTTTTTTGCCAGTTTTCCTGGTGCCTGGGTGACTTCATTTACCGATTTTTTGAATTTGTTTGTCTTTCCGTGCTACTAGATCGATTTCCGTGGCCATCGATTCTACCGTATCGCGTGCTAGTAGTAGTGTGTAAAATGGATGAACACAGTGCATTGCTGTCTACCTGCTGCAGTATTGGTGGCAAAAAGTTTGCCAACATGGCTGTGTCCACGAAATACAACGTGAAGGACTATGCCAGATCATTCAAGATGTGTACGAGGTCGACATTTCTCAGGATGACCCTGCGATCCACCCTACACACATTTGTCATGTATGCAAACGTGTGCTGGATCGTTGTCTGAGAGAAGGTTGCCTTGACTCATTTGTAGGGGATGGATGTGGAGCGATCAAAGTGTGGAAGCCACATCACCGCACATACTGCGACATATGCCACACTGCACCAAACAAGGGTGGACGTCCACCAAAAAAGCAGAAGCAACTTGCCTCAAAGCTTTCTGCTGTACAAAAAAGAAAAAAAGAAATGGATCACACAACAGTCCCACAACATTCATCCACAACAGCAATACCCCTATCACACTCTCCTGGACCCCAGACAGCACACAGTACTAGTGGAATGGATGTAGATGAAGCAAATGTTTTCACGCACGCAACACCGACATACAGCGCACAGAAGAAACTGGACAAGACTAGGTTCGTTCATTGCGCACCAGGTTCCACAAGACACAGCAAGGGAAGTGCCAATGAATAAGAAAGACGGCAGCATAGTGATGGCATGCATGGTGTACATGCCAAATCTCATTGACATCGTGATGCACTATCTGGACTTGTACGACACATATGGGTGGCTGACATGGCACGGAAATATCATTCCGGAGTCCGAGATTCGGCTAGAACTTGGCGGTGACCGCCTCCGGAGCAAATCTTTCGCAAGCCAAGCACCACAACAATGCCATCCGCCCAGTTATCTTGCCAATTCCCGTCAGCAACGTTGTTATTCCGTCTTTTCATCTGGATCTCGGCATTTTCGCATGGCTGTATGACATCTACCTAGCTGAAGTCAAACAACTGGATGTGAAACTGGCAGCAGCAACTCTCTAGCCGTGTGCAGATGATCAGCTCCAGTTTCAAGAGCTAACAGTTCTCAACGACAAAGTTCGGTCCGCCAGGCAAGCTATGGAGGATGCCCAGGCGAAGAGCGATGAACTACAGCAGCAGCTCCAATATGCAGTGCTCTTGCAGCAACACGCACCGACCAGCTTTCCCAACGTCAACATGGACACTGTAGCTGCAGCAATACAGCAACTGTGGAAAGACGCCAGCGACGCCTTCACTGTTGCAAGTGCTGAGCACAGCAAACTCGTAAATGACTTAGACGAGATGAGAAAGAACAAGAAAGTCACAGGACCATGCGCGTCAAGTCTCGAGTCTGTGCTCCAAGCACACAATGTTGATCGGCAAGCCTACCATGGCGGTGCCTTCGTGGGCAACCATGTACATAGCACACTGCAGCCTGCCGTGCTAAGAGCACTGATGTCTGCTCCAGTTGAGGTGGTTTCCACTCGTTGCCAGCAGCTCGTTGCTGATGCAGAAATCTTGCAGCAGCGGTACCATGGATTGTTTTCGGGATATGCCGACTGCGGCCACCGTTTCAGCCATTGCAACAGCATGTCAGAGGCCGACATCTCAAAGCTGGCTGACTGCATCCAGCTGTTTCTTCAGAAATGCAGAGAATCCATTATCACCCGGCAGCTCGGCAACATAACTCCGAAACTACATCTCTTGGAGGAGCACACAGTCCCGTTCACCAGGAAATTTAGAGTCGGTCTGGGTCGACTCGCCGAGCAGGGCAGCGAGTCAATTCATGCTAGATTCAACAGGCTGAGCTTCGATTATAACGCTATTCCTGGGACTCTGCAGCGCCTCACAGCAATGTGCCAGCAACATCTCGTTGGGACATTGCCACAACATGACGCTGTTCGTCCCGCCACGGCATCAAGAAAACGCAAGGCGTCCGAGCTCGAGCAGTGATCCTCAGGCCCTGGACGCAGCAGCTTGGCCATTTCAGCCCTGATCCAGGTAAGAAAAATAACAAACGGTACTGCTGACTCCTAGTTGAGCTCTGTAGTGACAACAGGAAGAGACGTCGTCCAGCAAAAACCTGCTGTCTACCTTCTCCTTCCTTTTCTTTCCTTGTTTGTTGTTGTCGAAGCTGAACACTTTTTGTTGTGCGACTTCGAAAGTTTGAATCCTTGTCCCGATCGCGGTGTTTGTTACCTTGACAAAGCACAGTTTTCGCGTGAATCCCACAGGATCTTTGAAATCTTTTTCAGTTTTCAGAATATTTTTGAATTTCACCGTAAACCTGGGCGAAGGCCGCCATATTGTTAAGTGGTGGCCGCGAAACAGCCGTGACTGTAGTAACATCACTGTTGTGACATCACTGTAGTGGCATCACTGTAGTAACATCACTATAGTGACATCACTGTAGTGACATCACTGTAGTAACATCACTATAGTGACATCACTGTAGTGACATCACTGTAGTAACATCACTGTAGTGACATCACTGTAGTAACATCACTGTAGTAACATCACTGTAGTGACATCACTGTAGTGACATCACTGTAGTGACATCACTGTGGTGACATCACTGTAGTGACATCACTGTAGTGACATCACTGTAGTAACATCACTGTAGTAACATCACTGTAGTGACATCACTGTAGTGACATCACTGTAGTGACATCACTGTGGTGACATCACTGTGGTGACATCACTGTAGTAACATTACTGTAGTAACATTACTGTAGTGACATCACTGTAGTAAGAAGAAAGGATCATAGGTTTACACTTAGTTGTCCAACAAAACAAAAAAACAAAAATTACACCGTCAAGAACAAGGAGTCGCACAACTCCCTGGTCAAGAACCACCTTTCCGCTTCCGTGGGACGCCACCACCCCATGATCAGGCGTCAGATGCGGCTCCTAAACGGTGGGGGAGGATAGATCAGATCCACCCACCATAGGCCAAAGGTCTAAATCCCATTTGCCACATCCATGTTTTACTCATGCCAGGCCACGAGTTCCCAATTAACTGTGGGCCAGCACTGGCAATTAAAAGCTAGATAATGACTCATGACTTATGACATATGACTCAACTGGACAATTAAACTGGAATACCAGTAAAGAAATTGAAACACGTGCAGGGATAGTGGGAAAGATGAAGGCCGGGACATGCCCAAATGGCAAGAGAATGATCAGGTTTCGAGAAGAGTGATACTCCAGCTTGCCGGAAGGCGAAGCAAACGCTTTGGCATTGCTTAGTCTTGCTGATGGTGGTGAAGAATTGTAAATTTGTACTTTCTTCCAACATGGATAATGTGGGCACAAGTTATGCGGTCGAGGTCACCAACTAAACCAGATTTCGAACAGTCAAACGTGCCCAATCTAACACCAAACTGACAATGGGTACTGATACATTCCCCGCCATGAAAGTCAACTTGAGCACTGCTCGATAGCGCAAACCAACGTCGGCATCATGGTCAAAATCACGCACCAAAAACAAAAGATAGAACTGTATTGGTCAGCGAAAGGAGAATAAATCATGGTGTGTTACTTGAACGTCAATTGCCTATCCATGTCCATTATCCTGTGTGCATTTGTCAACAACTTAGATAGGGACCTGTGCCTAGACCCGACGTACTGCGCAATGAACACCTCCTATCCGCTGGGGTCCACGGACTGCAAGAGCAGCATTACCAGGACCTTTTTTACTACCAGTGCTACTTTCAGCTGTACCTGCTCGTCAGGCGATGCGGGCGCTCCTTGCAGGGAGGTGCGAGACTGCATGGAGAGTCCAGCAACCCACGTTCCGAATAGGGACTGCAACCCACGTCATATCACGGGTAAGGTTTTTTTAAAGGTATCTACCAGCCTCATATACGGGCAAAAATTAGCACCAAGGAATGAAATAGATCTGTATTCAGCTTGAGCTTGCACAATGGGTAAAGAAAGGGAATAATTGACTTGGCCACGGGTGACTCTATCTGACAACTCGGTTCAATCCCTGACATTGCGCGGTAGTGCATTCCACAACAGCGCTGCTCTATTTGTGAAAGAATAGACCGATCTCCTTATTATACTGGGTTCGAGCACGGGGGCAACCTCTCTCGCGATCGAGCTAGTTTTTGAACGTGACAGTATCTCCGACAGTGTGTTTTCAGATTTGTTTTGGGATGTCTTCTGATTAGCTCAAGTTGTTTACGATGGCTTCGAGTGGTGCTGAACCTCCTGCTACCATCATTCCCTGTAGTATTTTGACAAGAAGGGAACGAAAACGTTCAATACTTTGACACATGTCCTAATTGGCTGGTGGTGACTCTTGCGTAGATGCATGCGTAGATAATACCTTTTTTTGTAATTATTTTCTGCCTCCGTCCTACTGAAGTAGTTTCAAATAAATAATAAATAAATAAATACAAAAGAGAAAAATAATAAACAAAAACTAAATAAATAAATACAATTAGAAAAATAGTAAATTTTAAATAAATAAATAAATATAGCCACAAACACGACTACTATCTCCGAAGCGCTTGTTCAAATAAATAAATAAATAAAATAATAATAAATAAAAAAATAAAAAAGAGAAAGACCAAGGAACTACAAGTTACGCTATACTGTCCACTAACACCTCTCTTTTGTATAAATTAAACCTTGGCTCTCCATCTGAGTAAATAAATAAATTATTCGATTTTCTTTTCCCGTCCTTCTATGCATTGTAGTTCTTAGGATGACGATACCGCATAACAACATCATGAACGGCTCCACCATCAATGTCACTTGTTACAGCGACATCCCATTCACAGAACAGGTCAATTGGACCGTCCTCCCAGCGCATCCCATGGAGGCCTTGTCGTTCTCTGGACCAATGGGCACCACGCTCACCATCTCTCCGATCACGGCCGACGTCCACAGAGACGGAGATGTTCGCCCCGTGTCTGTGGAGTGCAGGGCTAACGTTACGGGCAGATTAGGTCCAGGACTTGGCAATGCTACGCTCCCTATTTGTAAGTACAGTCTATTCCCGACAGTGGCTGTAGCTTAGCTGTATAGTGTCCCATCTTCAGGGTCGTCACAATGCCTTTCGAGGCCAAGGGGGTGCTCCCCGCGGAAAAGTACCAAACATCCAAGCCTATTGCCATCGCGTCCGGACATTTTTATTACTCAGATTGTTATCCCCGTTTGAAATAATCAATGCCTATATTTCTCGTGTTCAAGCACCCCAAGTATTGTAAGGTTTAAAGCTTCACTGATGCCGATTGAGTAACAGAAACGAGAATAGTTGTAGTTCAGAGTAGAGCCTACACGCTCTCTTCCATTAACACTGCAATAGTTCAACTCATTTCACAATAATCATTCCAACGTTTCGGCAAATTGCCTTCATCAGGTTCACAAGAGAATAGTTATACTGACGTTGCGTGATGATTGCATAGCCTGACACTCAGAGTCTCAACAAACTTTCCTTGTGCCTTTGTTGTCTGATGTACAATGCAGTTAGGCTGATATTGGGCCCCGTGAAATTCGTCGTGTTGAGCACTCTCCGTAAAGTTGCTCTAGAGTTGCTGCATTACGCATCGGTCGCTATGTGCGTCTAGGTGGCTATGAAGTCGAGACCCTAGGTCGGCGGAGCTCCCTAAACCTCACCACCACTGCCACGATTCAGGTTGTGCGTGCTTCCCCTAGCTGAATCTCATGTTTGGCATTTAAGTGGTCATTGTAAAAAATAATAAATAAAAATGTTTCTTAGCTTAGTTAACCCTCATTCCATGTTGACTTTTTTCCTACGTTCCCAGTATATTGGGGTACTTTTGGACTCCAGGAACATTTTGCGTAGTATTCTTGCAAACTCTCCATTTTATGGATTTGTTTGGACTGTTTTAACTTCCCATAGACCAATGTTCTGACCAAATTGCATTTGTTGACAGCTCTGAAGTTTGGGAAGAGTGTGTTGCTCCCTACATGGGAGCTCGCGGTTTCCTGCCGACTTGGATTCTCACTTGACTGACTCGCGACTGACTCACGACTGCCATCCTGAGCACACGAGAAGTCCATCGAACCGTCCGCACTAAGCCCTGAAGTTTGTCGGGATTATTTGCAAGTTTGGAAGAAAACAACTGAAAACGCTCCTTGGGTCCAAGAGGACCCCCAGTGTACTGGGAACGTAGGAAAAAAGTCAACATGGAATGAGGTATTATGGTTGCAGAAGAACATTTTCTTGTACGGCCTCTTACTTCAGTGGATGTCATCCATGTATTCGGTGACCATGGAGATACCAAAACTATCGCAGTAGTTGCAATTCCCTGTGTTCTATATTTACTGGGGTCCATTTGTACCCCGCCCGCATTTTCCGTTATAAAAGTGAAATCCATCCTGAACCTCTAACCCAGATTACTTATTTGAGCACGAGAAGACTGTCTCCGCTGTGCATGACGTTGGCGGATGTACATGCATATCGAGGATGAAACTTGCAAGACCATCAGACAAAACAGTCGAGCCACAATTACAGGACGCACAGACACATAGATGGTCTACCACTAAAGATTCGAAGATCGATTGGAGGGGAAGGTAAACGAACATGAATTGGGAAGAATCGAACGCCGCAGTACTACACTACAGTATAGTACTTCGATCAAGACATGGTCATCGTGTAAAACTGCTGCTTGTTACTGTTGCTAGTTACTGCTGCTTATTTTCCATCTAGATTGTCGCAACGCACACAAAGAAAAGGAAAGAGAGGATTTGTTCAGATTTGTTTTCTTGTTACATTCATCACTGAATCTACGTAACAATGGAATGGGGACTACTTGAAACTAGTTGAGGAAATTTAGGAAATGCTTATAGTGCAATTAGTCGTCCTTATAGCTATAATAATTATTTTATTCTTGCTTCTTTTTCACAGTGTACGACGTTTGTGCTGATGCTGATGTGTGTCAACGAGTATTCTTGCATCCACCAGGTTCATCCGACTGCGTTTTTCCAACGTCTGGTACTCCGTTCTGCCAGTGTCGCCAGAACTCTGCCGGTAGAGGCTGCAGGATTGTGGATGGCTGCAGGGGTGATATTAGCTTCGCTGACGCATCGCGTTCATCCTTACTCTTCCCATCGACCCTTTCGTCAGTAAAGGCTCTGGAGTGTATATTTGGAATGGGATGCAGCCTAAACGCAACTGGTAGGTATATTGTACAGTTTTATGAATCTCTCTCCCCGAGTGAATGAACAATTATACATAAACACAGTACGTTCCACAGCAATACATTACGATGACAACACCACCAACTTTTACACCACCACCATTTACACCACCACCAGCACCACCAACAACACCAACAACACCACCAGCACCAGCACCACTAGCACCACCACCCCCACCACCACCACCACCACCACCACCACCACCACCACCACCACCACCACCACCACCACCACCACCACCACCACCACCACCACCACCACCACCACCACCACCACCACCACCACCACCACCACCACCACCACCACCACAACCACCACCACCACCACCACCACCACCACCACCACCACCACCACCACCACCACCACCACCACCACCACCACCACCCGACCACCACCACCACCACCACCACCGCCACCACCACCATCACCACAACCACCACCACCACCACCACCAACACCAACACCACCACCACCACCACCACGTGTATCCAAATGTAGTTATGGGTCACTCCATGCATTTGATGTTTTATCGGTTGTGTAGACAATCAACTGTCACCATCACTCGTATTGATATTTATCTCTCTCTTCCTTTCTTTGCTCTTTTTCCTGTGCAGCTCTAGTGTTCCAATGTACTGAATCGACCAGTAACACTGTCGCGCCCAACCTCACTGTCGCGCCCAACCTCACTGTAGCGCCCAACCTCACTGTCGTGCCCAGCCGCACTTCGTTGCCGGCAGGAGTGTTCCAATGCAGTGGATCAGCCAGTAACGCTGTCATGGTCAGCTACAGATCGTTGCTAATAGTGATGGTTGGCATGGTGGTCGGCAGACGACTCCTCATCTAACGCGCATCTACCTCAACTTCTCACGGTGTAAAACTTGTACTAGCCTACATTTGCAACTGACCAATCCCCATGTACATGACCCTCACATACAACAGCATCCCTTTAGATTAGGGTCAGTTTAGGAAGCATCCCCTTTGCTTTCTTTTTTAGGGAAAAATTAGAGAAAGCCAATTGTGTACTAGCACTACATGTACATGTACATGTATATACCGGGGATTAATTTTGCAGCACACATTGTCCAATGCCCTGGTTATAAATGTACATATACCGGTTATTGCCTCAATTCCATTGGTTCCCGGTTCGATTTTAAGCCTAAAATGACCTGTAAGTGTACGTTTACTCTTTAGTTCAACAAAAGTTTACTCGATTGTACTTGGTACACAGTACAATGTCACTATTAAACATGTACGTGTACATGTACATGTAGATCAGGACTAAACTACCCATACAATCATAGCTACGGGTCACATACCAACGTGTTGCAACATCAACAATTTACTAACTACAAAGACAGACCATGGTTGTTTCTTTTTCAATTAGATTTGCTCCATAATGCAGTCACTTCAACTTTGCTTTGTGGGTATACATTGTATAAACCAGTACTGATCCAGATTCACTAATGACTGTTTCTAATGATCACTTAGTGCTTGAAACTCAGACTTAAAACACTTTTTCCGTCCTCTTATTGTTCGTTTTTTCCTTTTCCATGTATTAAATAAATTGGTATTGCGTTTAATTGGTCGGTGCATCAACAGTAGTCATTGTTTCTTCCCAGACGAGACTATAACGACCCTTGCAGACACTAGCACTAGCATGCAGTTCACTATTCCACAAGCACCACTTCACGACAGCTTGACAATGTACATGTACCTGTACTATCATGTACTAGTAGCTTTTCCTGAAAAGCTTGTTTCGCATTACAGAGACAGATACATGTACATTGTATATGTACAGTGCTGGCAACTGAAATCCGACCCCTGGGCGGCGCGGCGCGCCGCCCAGGGGGTCGGATTTCAGTTGCCATCACTGTACATGTTGTTAGTTGCCATACATGTACATGGATATGTAGCAGGAAGTCATCCGAAAGCAGAAGCAGTTGCTGAATGGTAATTATGGTTTGTATAGGCTAAGCTAGCGAATGCTTTGCTATTGTGCATGGTACAAGTACAAGTGTATGTACCGGTATACATGTACATGTACATATACAGTGCATAACATACTGGCGTGGGACATGTACACGTACACGCAACAAACTCACACATACATGTACATGTGCATTGTACACGTACACGTACATGTACATGTATAATGCATGACGAACCACCACAAAGGGAATAATTTGGAATGGAGCTGTTATGAACCCAAAGTAGGTTACAGTGTGTTGTAAAACAAACATTTCACAAACAATACTGAAGACTGAAGTGTTGAGTAAGCACACTGTGTAAATGCCTGTACAGTCAACTAGGTGCAAAGTGGAGGTGAGAGGTGAGAGACAAAACATCTTTTGGACGGCTAAAGTTACATCTGAACATTATTGCAAAAGGAAGATGATGCATGATGACTCTTGATGAGGCGCTAGAAAGGCCAGAAGATGGGGAAGGCACGGTAGTAGACACATTAGACTCGAACAGTACATGTACATGTAAGTAAAGTTCTCCACGCGCCTGCATCCCGAGGCAAGAGATGCGTGTAGGTAGCGTGAAACTACAGCCCTCTTATTAGAAGCCGCTCAGGCCGGTCGGCTAGGCAGGGTCTCGCATGCTGGACACACCTAGATGATGAAATGCACTATAGAGGTGGAATCCTGATAATTCGAACCTCAAAATGCTAGGTAAAAAACTTCTAATTATTCGGACATTCTAATTATCCAAACATGAACCCACAACACAATATGTATGTCAAAATGCTCTCGTGGTCACGCAGAGTTGCGCTATGGACCTTAGAAACAGATTTTGCGGATACTGAACTGACCGACACAACCTGCTCGTGCAAATTGAACTGACCAGTAAAATGTACAGTGAACTTCGAAAATTTTTGCTAACTTCGAATTGTCAGCACAAATCCCACACATTTTCTATGTAAGTGGAATCTGTGGGACTTCTAATTAACCGGACATGTCCAGTTCGAGGTTCGAATTATCAGAATTTTTTATGTGGGAATCGTATTGTACTCGTTTGATGTTAGAAGCACCGGAGTTCATTGGCCTGTGCAAACTTTCGGGGGCAATATAGATCATTATCTGACATCTTATGTTATCCTGCAGATATATTGGACAGTGCTGGCAACTGAAATCCGACCCCAGACCAGTGCGTTCACATTCTAGCGGCCTCCGTTTTCAATCCCGTGCTGGGTCTTTGCGATGTGAGCGCACCGATCAGGGGTCGGATTTCAGTTTCCAGCACTGTATTATGTGAAGGCCTGTGTAAGGGTGTTGATCGAGGTCCTTGATGCAAATTTATTTATTTATTTTATTCCAAGCAATACATGGCTGGGGTAGCCAATTTATTTATTTATTTATTCACAATCACGTGGCACTAGCCAATGAAATGGTGATGTGGGCGATAGCCAGCCATGGCGGTAATAGAGCTAGAGGGGAGAAAGAAAAAGAATGAAAGGGGAACTGAAAAGCAGGAGAAGCTAGGGCAGGGCTGGATATCAACTTGTATGTTGCATTCTGCAGTAGCTGTGTGAATGTATTGTAACATTGGCAGGATTTTAGATGTTGTGGGAGGAGAGACCAATGGTGGTAAGCAAGGAAGAGAGGAGATGTTTGCATAGAGGCCGACCGCGCAATAGGGAAGCGGAGAGAGTTTCTGGTGCGCATGTCTTGAGATTGAGCAAACCAGCTTAGGCAGGAGAGAGCATGAAGAGGAGCAATGCCCAGCTTAATTTTATGAATTGTCTGGCATGCCGAAAAACGCACGCGGACAGAGAGCGGCACAGCAGAAGCAAGGCGGTATAAGTCTGCGCTTGGAGTCAGGCGAGGAAGCCGAAATAATATTTTCAAAAGACGCCTATGCATAACTTCGAGTCGAGCAATCAGTGTTTTAGAAATGCCAGCCCAAATTATGCAGCAGTAATCAAAAATAGGCAGAATGTAAGATGTGTAGATAACATGGCGACAGTCGGTGTGGAGGTGGGTGATGTGTGATGAGAGAAAACGGCTGTCTAAATTTTCGATCTGGGATTTCCAGGTTAAGTGTTGGTCAATAATGACGCCAAGATGCTTGTGTTTTTCAACGATGCAGAGCGGGGTTGTGGTGCCTGGAAAGGTGAAGGGACTGGTTACTAATGAAGATAGGTCACAGGAACAACTGGGGGGGGGGGGGGGGATACACATTACAGCAGTTTTCGAAGAGTTGGGGTGCAATTCCCATTTTTCCATCCAATGAATAACGCCATCTATGTTGGGCTGTAACTTGGCACTAGCCTCGGGGAGAGTGGGTGCTGTCACAAGTAGTGCTGTATCATCAGCATATTGGCGTGTGGTCCATTTCTGCCAGGTCGTTTACATACATAAGAAAGAGGAGAGGCCCCAGGATTGATCCCTGAGGAACTCCAGACCGTACATGCCCTTTGGCAGACAGAGCAGAGCCGACACGCACCCTTTGCTGTCTGCCCGTCAGGTAAGTACTGAGCCACGTGAAGCAAGTACCATGGATTCCATGGCGCGACAGCTTGTATAGGAGCCCGCGTGTCCATACTGTGTCGAAGGCCTTGCTTAGATCAAAGAAACATAGCATGCTGTAATGGCCGTTCTCACGAACAGAAGACATCGATTGAACAAGTCTGAGAAGCTGCCAGGACTTAGAGTCGCCTTTTCGGAATCCAGACTGGGACAGATGTAGAACAGGAGACAGGTAAGTGTATAAGTGGTTGTACATAATACGTTCACACAGCTTGGAGATTGTTGACAATAACGAAATCGGGCGGTAATTCGATGCATCGAGCTTACTTCCCTTGTTCTTAAAGACCGGAGTTACAATTGCGTGTTTCCAAATAGCAGGGAAAGCACCAGTTGCAAAAGTGAGGTTAAAGATGAGGCTGAGAGGGTATGCAATACTGGAACAAAATAATTTCAGGAATTCATGAGAAATACCGTCCGCTCCCGCAGCCTTTCGGGTCTTAAGGTTGCGGATTTGCTTTGCCACAGCAAAAGGCGTGGTGGTGACATCTTGCAACGTAGGTGTAGTTCTTCCACGTGATGGGGCGTCGGGTGGCTTGAAGTCTGACACATTCCATGAAGGATCATCTTGTGTTCCAAAACCAATAAACTGTTCGTTCAAAGCATCTGCCACATCCACAGAGTGAGAATATAGAGTACCAGCGACTGAGAGCTGAGTTACAGTCGTTCTGCTGTTGCCTTGGGGAGATCGAAGCTTCCGGACAAACTGGAATAAACTTGGTGATGCGGGTCTTGCCGTGGATGCACTTAGGGATGAGATGTACAGTCGATGGGCAGTTCGAGACATATTGCGAGTAACGTTTCGCTCTCGTCTGTAAATAGCGAAGTCGTCAGCGGAGGGAAACTTTCGGTAAACACTATACGAATCTCGTTTTTTCAATGACCACTTTGCGTGGCGATTGCAGGGTTTTTATAGCCAACCACGGCTATTTTTGACGGTTGAGCACTATAATTATAACATGATAACTGCACGATTGGAAATAGAGTTAACACCCGTCATGGTGCATGCTTTCGAACTGCAAGACATACACTTTCATAGCAACGTGCAGCACATTGAGATCGAGAGAGACGATAAACAGATCAGCGAGCATGTACCTGCACATGAAGGGTGGCAGTAGTTTTTCGTCAACCACCGCATCGCAACTGCGCTCTCCAACCTATCTCTGACATGTTACGACCTTGCCTTGCTTCTACGTGACGAGGTCGTCTGGAGACCGTGGTCGTGGTGTGGTGGTTGGATTGGTGTATTTAATGTCGAAGAACAAGCCGGCAGCATTGCCTTATTACAAGAGATCGACTACAGGCACACTGGTTGACGAAAACTCCTCACTGGATCGAATACTGCTGCTGTTTACCCCATAATTAGAGGGTGACATTGAGGTACGTGAACAAACAGTCCAAGGAGAGCAGCAAATACTAAATCATTCAATGCCTAGACCAGCCAGGATGGCATATACATGTACATGTACATGC